GGCAGTCAGTAAATTAAGATTGGTCTGATGATCAGGACTCAATTTATAATTTTCACACAGACTTAATAATGTACACTGATCTGGGTTAGTGTTACTAAAGAAATGTAGCAGAATATATTTTCACCTAAATTAATGAGAAAAAGTGTTTTAACAGACAAAGAAAAACATTTTTTTTTCCATAATTTTTGGTCTGTTTTCCTTTATATAACAAAACATAAAAAAAACAGTGTTGATTAAATACCATCAAAAGAAAGCTCTGTCTGCAAAACATATTTTTAATTTTTTCATTTTAAATTTTTATTTTTTTTTAATTTGGGTACATTTCAGGTTGCATGACTGCCATTCAAGAGAAAAATGACCTGAGCAGGAAGGGGGTGACACAGTCCTGTCTTGCTGTGATTGATATTGTTATTTTTAGCCAGAGTTCTACTTAGATGCAAATCTCTTAGTAGTAATTGAAAGCCATGAATTCAGTGGGCGGCTGTTACTCATTGATATAATAGAGTGAATGACAGTTCCCCTCTCATAGGTCGGTATCCTTTTTGCTGTATGTGGGAGGACATAACAAAAGTTGTAGGATGGTGAAAGCTGTAAATCCAGTCTAAGGTGGTGACAAAATACTGTGTATCTATTAAAACTAAGCTATACCCCTTTGAGCCATGGATTCTTACAAAGTAAAACTGTAAGTGTAAGACTATGGCCTCTTAAGAAATAGAAAAATGTGTGCTGCAGCACTTAATTATACATTTATTTGCACTTAAAAATGGTGTGATAATGATGCTGCGCTGCTCCTGAATTCAGAGCAGAGTTGCCAATCTAATGTCAGCTGTGACTGCTTGTACATTGTGCCTGGGTTCAAACTGATGCGGTCGGGAATATGCAGCGTTTTCTGTGCAAATTCCTCACCGCATCAGAATCTCATCCTGTTCATGCGAACCGCTGTGTGGGTGTGTATATTAAGTTAACAACACTCCGAAATCGGTCCGCAAAACACGTTGCGATGTGCAGAATCGGATCGCATAGGTGTGAATACTCATGTGATCTAATTCTAGTGTGGACCAAAAAAAGGGTCCTGCACCTTTTTGGTGCGGGTGCGGTGCGATTAGAGCCATACAAAATGTATGGCTACAATCGAAACGCACACAAATTGCATGTGATTTGCACAGGAATGTGGTGCGGTTCCTGTGGGAATCACATGCGATAAACAGCACAGCATATATGTGAACCCGGGCTGTATTACAGTGGGATGAAAAAAATGTTGCAGAGGGGTTGCCTATCAGCATTGACACTGCTGATGCCTAAGCTTGTAGCTTGTCAATCAACAGCTGTCCACATCTAATTTTGCCCACTGCTTTGTGAATTGACAGTATTACCTTTTTATAAACCCTCCCTCTGTGGGTAGCAGTGCCTGGGAGGGGGAGCAAGTGAGACACAGATGAAAGAGGGTTTGGCTAGTCAAGGGCTGGTAAAGGAAGTTTTTGGTTCACTTTATAAGGATTGTGTGTTACATAGTAACTGGATCTGGCACTTGTTTAGACTGCAATTTAGATGTACTTCAAGTATATTTAAAACCAAAAACAGCTGGTATGGGCTATGGCGGTGGTCAGGATGCTGGTATGGCATATGGGGTTATCAGGATGCTGGTATGGGGCATGGTGGTGATCAGGCTGCTGGTATGGAGCACGGCTGTGATCAAGATGCTGGTATGAGGTATGGCGTTGATCAGGATGCTAGTACGGGGTATGGTGGTGATCAGGATGCTGGTATGGGGTATGGCAGCAATCAAGACACTGGAATAGTGTATGGTTGTTTATTTGCACACTGGGACAGATGACAGGGGCTGGCTGTATGTTTTATTAGGACTACACTGGGGCACTGCTCAGGACACAGGGACACCGTGACTGACTGGCACTACAGTCTGTGAGTGTACAAGAAGCCTGACAGGCTGCTGTACACACAGAGGCTGCAGGATCACTTCTCTCTGCTCTCATACTGAGGGGGTTAAAAACAAAAACTTTTTTTTAACTTGTCAGGTTGCTTTAAAATGACTGTAAACCCATTTTATAAAAATAACAAACATGTTATATGTACCTGCTCTGTGCATTGATTTTTCACAGAGCAGCCCCAATCCTCCTCTTCCCAGATCTCCCACCGGAGCTCCTGGCTCCTCCCCTTCACAAGTGCTTACCATAGCAAGCCGCTTTCTATGGGGGCACTTGGGGGGCTTGCTTCTGAGCAGGCTCTATATGTAGATAGACAAACAGACTGCTTCCTCACTGGCTGTGACTGACAGCAGCAGAAGCTAATGGCTCCTGCTGCTGTCTCTGAGCATATGAGGAGAGAGAGGGGTGTGGAGCCACTGAGAGAGCCACTGCTCTCCTGCACAACGCTGGATCAAGATCAAGTGGTGGTCAGTATAAGAGGAAGAAAGGGGCACTGGGGAGGTGGGAGCTGCACTCAGAAGGTTTTCTAACTTAATGCAAAGAATGGCCTCATGCACACAATATTGATGTTTTTAGCATCTGCATTTCTGGACTTAATTTTAGACATTTGTGTTATATGTAGTCACACATATTATGCATGTACTTGCACGTGTGTGCATTCATGCATACAATATATTCCTTTGGAAAAATCTATGAATATTTAAAATATTTATGTTCTATTGCATGTATTTGTATGTATATGCCGGTGCAGATTTTTTTTTCTTTTTACTCATCAATATGCAGAGTTTGTTTACACGTTTGTGTGTACAGGCACATTGTAAAGAATAAGCGGCAGTTGAGATCCATAAAAAAACAACAAAAAAAACCCCGCTGTACTGAGCTTTTTCACGCTGCAGCATGCAGGAGGCCAAAAGGCAAAAAACTTTCAGCCTTTAGAACCACTTTAGCAGTCTTCAAATGCATGTTGAAGCTCATCCCTTTGATCTGCAGATGAATGAGTACATACAAAAGTAGGAATGCTACTTTTTATCTCTCTGTCTCCCATCTAAACAGTGTTCATTAGCACAAAGTCAATGGGACAGTTTTTGACAGCAGAAGCTTCTATAGTTGCTGTAAATAAAGAACAACTCCTGCCTATTATTTGGACTGTGGGAAGTGCGATGGGGGGCTGCAACAGTGAGGCAGAAGGATGGGATCTCTGAAACACTGTATGCTGGATCAGGGGTGGACTAACAACTGATGGGGCCCCCAGGCAATAGGGTGTCCTGGCCAAACTCAAAAAACCCTATGAAAAAGGTACCAGGGGCATCTCATGGGGCCCCCTACTGACCCCGGGCCCTCGGGCAGTGCCTGAGTTTCCAAATGGTTAGTCCGCCCCTGTGCTGGACTGTATGTACTTTGATTTTTTTGTTGGCCTTGTATAGTACATCTAGTGTCCACAATCGAGTAGCACTGTGTTTCTCTGTATTTCTATAAGTTTTAAAAACCAATGGATGATTCAGACCAATGACAAATCACAAGCAAAGGTGAGCTATCATGCGGGTGGACTACTGTAAGAATATCTCTATTTAGATTTTGTTTGTTTTTTTTATTTTTTATTTATATTTTCTCTCAAGCAGACAGGAATGCAGGCAGATCACTACAGCAAACATTGGATGATTCCATCACAATAACATACTATAGCCATCATATGTTGTTAGAGACATTTTTAGATGTTTTTGTTAAATGCACCAACATAGAAAAAGGTGGGAGCAATAGTCCGTTTTTGCTTTCCCTAAACAAAGGAGCAGAATAAAAAAGTTCTTTTGCAAATTAAAAAGGAAAACAGGATTAGTGCCCCAACAAATCAGAGACGCTGGAAGTGACACGTACCAATATATGCACCAGCAAGGCTAGTGCGATAAGTACAAATCACTTGGGATATGGATTTGTGGGAAGAACGTTAAACACAGACATTGTTTATCAGCTTCCAGTTATGACCTATGTCTGAAAGACATTTGGGTGATAACAAGGAACAGTCAGATTGTCTTCACACACAGTTATGTTATTTGTCATCCTCAGCTTTTATAAAGACCAGAGATTTGGAGGTATAGGTTGTTCTTTAATCATCAGCAATTATATAAAGTATTGGATTATGTAGAGTTTAGGGTTATCACAGATAGTGTACATCAGTCAGCAGACACCCTAGAGATAGCCTAAGTTATTTATTTTCGTATAATGTTTTTTTGAAAATGACTCTTTATTTTTCACAAATATTCATTTTAATTATAAAACATGCTAATACATAATAGAATAGCTATTCTTAATGTCCAGAAAATAGAAAGAATAAAACTGTGATCAAGATATTATTAAATGAACTAGAATTATTTTGCTATGAGAGATCTGCTAATATGGAGTTTAAAACATAACTATGAGTTTTGTGTCTGTGCTGTTACATTTCAAAATTTCATTCTAAAACTAAAATGTTTAAGGTCATTTTTGAATTTTTTATTGCCATCTATGTCCATATTGGGGAGATTTCATATGTTAGGACAGGAAGTGATAGAAACGCTCTAATAGTTAAGTGTTCTTGCATGGCAAGACCACTTACTGTTATCTCACATATATATTCTTATTATTATAGCCAAATTTACCAGCCTAACTCCTCCCACAGTTTTTACACTACATAGACAGTAATATACCGAAACGTGCGGATTGTTCCCGATTGCTGTGCTATTACTTTGTGGAACGTTTCGGGACATACATTTCATTTGGGTGCAGTTCTGCATGACCACACAATTGTCAGTTAAGTAATGCAGCGCCGTATTTCAAAAAATGGCCTGGTCAGAATGGGGGGTAAATCCTCTGGAGGGAAAGTGGTTAAAGTGTTACTAAACCCACAACAGTAAAATCAGTCTGTATATGCAGTAAAGTAAAGCATGCTTGGTATACTCACCATTGTACCTAAGGGGTTAATCCTCTGCATTGTGTTTGATCCTGACTTCTCTGATCCTTCCTTTCTTTCAGTGTCCCCCTCTTATCTCCTGATAACACATATCGTGTGGAGACAATCTGCACATGTTCAGTTTGGTGTGTATTGCTAGAGAGTTTTTTTTTTCTTGGGAGAGTGCATGTGATCAGCAGAGGGCCAATCAGCACTCTTCAGACAGAGGTCACGTGTACTACATCCTCCTAGAGCAGAAAGAAAACTCCTCCTACAAGCTTTAACCAGTGCTGTGCTGAACACTTATAGAAGTAACAAGACTGCTCCAACTGCTGATTTGAAATGGTGTTTAGCAGTTTATATTTACTAAAATAATTGCACTTCCATGTTCTGTGTACTGTGGGAGACCAGATGTAGTGAATGCAGGGTCCTGGGTTTAGTAACACTTTAAGTTAATGAGTTTGTCTTGTCATACTCATTATGTTAAGTAATGAGTTCGTTTTTACATACTTGTTATGTTAGAATGATCATTTTGGATTTTTTTTTCATATATTTGAATTACTTTTGTATATTTGGATATGTTTCCTATGTTTGGAATAGTTTCATATATTTGGATTAATTTAATATATTTTGGAAGATTGGCTATATTTGTTTTTAATATGTTAATTCGTTATTTCAGGAGGTTACTTGGGCAATCTGAGTCATCCCTACTAGTCCAACCTACAAAGAAAAATGTAATGACTGATTTTTATGTATAATAATGAAAAAAGTTAAAGCAAAATAAAACCATAATGGAACTGAAAGAATGAATGGATCACATTTAATTTGGGTTCATTTCTCATGATTCAGAGATTCTGATGGATCCACCTCTATCCAACCCAAACACAATAAGTAGGAATCATCATCTTATTTCACTTTTACACCTTACTGTATTTATTGCAATATGTTTCTGTTTAATATGTAGTGCATTTTTTATAATAATAATAATAATAATAATGTTAATGCAAAACAAAAACAAAATAGATCCAAATCAGTTTTGATTATTTGTTATGTTGTTTCAGATGCTTCAAACATTAACAGAAGGCCCAAACCATTGCATCGTGTAATCCAAATGAAACAAATTAATACCAATTAATTAGATGTTTCAGTATTATTTATTTTGGATTCGTTGAAATTTGTTACTTTTGTGATTCGGAGATTTATATACATCCAAATCTCCAAATAACAAAAATGTCATTTCGTAAATCAATTGATCATGTTTAATAAATAGTGAAGGAGCAGCAGCACTCTGTGGAGATCACACTATACTCTCTCGCCATATCAGTAAGCTCTGTCAGTTACAGGAGTAACACTATGCAGTACTTCAACCTTCATTTTCCAATCTTAACTTTGTTCATGGAATTATAGGAGGTAAATATAAAGGGAACCTGAGTTACTTTTTTAGAAAATACATTTAAATCTGAATGTCAGAATGGACGTTTATTTTTTCACCCAATTTTCCCCCTTCCCAAGCACAGTCTATAAATCATTATATTTTGTTAAAAATTTTAAAGCAGTTAGTACAAATGTAAATATTTATTATCCTTGACATCATAGGTTTTAGCTGATTTCTTTGGAAGATGCTGGGGCAGGGAGGCAGATCTGTGGACACTGACAGAAGGAGTTCTCTACTCTATCACCCCAGCTGTAGCAAGAAAGCTTACTTCTCTGTCAACACACCCATGGTTGTAATATTTCCTTCAGTGGTAGAAGCAGGATTTGAGTTAGATGTGTGCATGATTACTTCTGTCTATGTTCCCCTATTTAAAAAATGTTAAATCTGTAAAATATTGCTGTAGGTTTTGTCAACACATAGACCAACAATTAAAAATAGCCTTCATAATGACATAAAAATATAAATGCAAGTGTTCCTGTCCAGAAAACACAAAGTAGTGGTTTTGAGGTTGTCCATAGACACATCGAAAGGCTGTAAAGGTTGGGCCTTTATAAAAAGTTAATAACATTGATAACATCCAGCAGTTTATGAAATCAAATTTTACACATTCTGGGCCCTTTCATTCCTTTTATTCTCCTGTCCTGCATATGCTGGCCCTTATCAGAGGTTACTAGTAGGAATAACAGGGCCCTGCATGTGCAAAACAGAAGAAATGTTGATTATTAAAGAGACTATTAAGCAATAAAATAGAAACCTTTAGGTCTTTGCATGAATTTTAAAGGGGGAACCTCACCAAGAAAAAAAGTGGTTTCCCCAAAATTCCATATCAGACCCATGGTGAGATCTAGAGGAGTGGTGGGCTAGGCTGCATCCCCCCATAGCCAACACCTGCCCCCTCCACCCCGGACACTGTGCCTGGCCTCTGAACCACACTGCAGACAGTTACTACCCAGCTAAGTCTGTGATCGGGTCAGAATGCAGCCCAGTGGGATGATGGAGGCTGCTTATACCACCTCCCTGGTGAATAACTGCGTTAGGTTATCCTTTGGGGATCTTCAATATCTCCTGAGGCAACTGGAGTAGGTGGGTGGGGAAAGGGGTATGGCTGCCTCTTTCACTCCTCCCATGGACATCTTCAGTCAAGCTGATCCTGCATCTGAAGAAAGTAAAAAAAGGTACAGTGGACACAGCCTGGCCGTCATCACCAGCCATGAGGTAACTCCCTGTCACTACATTGCTCTAGTCTTCAACTATACAGCCCTAGTCTAACACTATATTGTCCTACCTGACACTGTACTGCCCAGGCCTGACACTATACTGCCCAAGCCTGTCACTATGTTGCCATAGCATGACACTATGCTGCTCTAGTCTGACACTATGTTGCCGTAACATGACAATATGTTGCCGTAACATGACACTATACTGCTCTAGCCTGACACTATACTGCTCTAGCCTGACACTATGTTGCCATAGCATGACACTATACTGCTCTAGCCTGACACTATGTTGCCATAACATGACACTATGTTGCCATAGCATGACACTATGCTGCTCTAGCCTGACACTATGTTGCCATAACATGACACTATGTTGCCATAGACATGACACTATGCTGCTCTAGCCTGACACTATGTTGTTGCCGTAACATGACACTATGTTGCCAAACATGACACTATGTTGCCATAACATGACACTATGTTTCTGTAACATGACACTATGTTGCCAAAACATGACACTATGTTGCCTAAACATGACACTATGTTGCCATAGCATGACACTATGCTGCTCTAGCCTGACACTATGTTGCCGAAACATGACACTATGTTGCCAAACATGACACTATGTTGCCATAACATGACACTATGTTTCTGTAAACATGACACTATGTTGCCAAAACATGACACTATGTTGCCGAAATATGACAGTATGTTGCCATAGCATGACACTATACTGCTCTAGCCTGACACTATGTTGCCGAAACATGACACTATGTTGCCATAACATGACACTATGTTGCCGAAACATGACACTATGTTGCCGAAACATGACACTATGTTGCCATAGCATGGCACTATGTTGCCATAGCATGATACTATACTGCTCTAGCCTGACACTATGTTGCCGTAACATGACACTATGTTGCCATAGCATGACACTATACTGCTCTAGCCTGACACTATGTTGCCGTAACATGACACTATGTTGCCATAGCATGACACTATACTGCTCCAGCCATGACACTATGTTGCCATAGCATGACACTATACTGCTCCAGCCTGACACTATGTTGCTGTAACATGACACTATGCTGCCATAGCATGACACTATACTGCTCTAGCCTGACACTATGTTGCCATTGCATGACACTATACTGCTCTAGCCTGACACTATGTTGCCATTGCATGACACTATACTGTTCTAGCCTGACACTATGTTGCCATAACATGATACTATGCTGCCATAGCATGACACTATATTGCCCTTGCCTGACACTAAGCTGCCCTAACCTGACACTATGCTGCTGTAACATGACATTATGCTGCCATAGCATGACACTATATTGCCTTTGCCTGACACTAAGCTGCCGTACCCTGACACTATATTGCCATTGCATGACACTATACTGCCCAAGGCTGACACTATACTGCCCTTTGGCAGTACAGGTACATGTTCTCCCTGGCAGTGTCAGCTTCCATGCCCTTTTTTGCCTTTCCTATTAGAATGTGTTAGAAATGGGCAAAACTAATTTGCAAGATTCATCCCCCATAGTCTGTAATGAGTTCTGGGAGCATTCACAATTTCTGAACTGTTCAGTGAACATCCCATGAACCAGCTTGTTTATTTGTAATTTCATTCTGCTGAATTTTAAACCTTCCACAACCCACTAGTTCCCTGAGTATAGAATTTTGGTCTGTAGCCACTTGTAACTCCCTATACCGTTCTGACATATTGCCCTTTTGTTTATTGAATGCTGTACTTCACTTCACGGAACCCTTCATTCATTTATTTTTTCTTTAGCCTGCATATGGAATGGTAAGCTTTGGCTGCATAAAGTGTATTAAATTAAAGGCCCATTCACACTTATGTGCTTCACCTTAATTGAGGAAGATGCACCATAATATGGGTTAGTTTGTTGCAGTGCATTCAAATGCACCAAAGTAATGCACCTGCTAGTACTGAATGTACTAACATGAATCATAGTATGATGTACTATATTACAAAAGAATTACATGTCTGATTTGTGGTCCATTGTTGTTTGTGAGCAGCCTGTTTAAATAAAAGGGCTGAATTAAACTAGCCATAATGGAGTAACTTGCTGTGAATGATCCCAAATGCCCTTCTATGTAGTGTTCAACATTACCAAAAAGAGTAGGTCTTGTTTTCAGTAGATTGAGGTGCTTTGGCAGCCCATTCATTTGAATAGGCTGCTTTATTACAGTGCATATTAATGTGCTTTCATTTAGCAAAGCACAATGGATTGGCTGGGTGCTAATAGTCCCTAACATCCTTCTGTGTGATGCAATTCTCTGCGATGGTGCAGGTCTATTTTGGTGTGTTACTGTTGTGTTGGCAGCCCATTGATATGAGTGGACTGCCTTACAGTATATGTAAACCCTTACCTTGTACAACAACCCATTCAGTTTAAAATATAAATGAAAGGCAAAACATTTGTGTATAGATAGATATAAAAACATAAATACCTCCCTTTTTTGTATAAGTGGTCATGTGCCCTCTGTTCTCAGCTGTATAAAGAGGTCAGAGAGCTGGGGGAGGAGAAACAGCAGTACACTGATCATCTTCGTATGAATGGTTATGCAGGGGAAGGGGGGCCAGGTCAGGACAAGTCTGATCATTGTAGGAGAGCAGGCTGAGTTTTCAACACAGTTAGAAACACTAGATGACCATGCTGTGCTCTCCTGCCTAGTGTGGTCAGTTTTTAGTAGGAAAGCAGAGGGTCTGGCAGGAACACCAGGGATTTCACACAAGGAAAGCAATACAAAAAGAACAGGATACTTTTTTCATACAAGTACAGTGCCATGAAAAAGTATTCATACCCCTTGAAATTTACCACATTTTGTCATGTTACAACCAATAACATAAATTTATTTTATTGGGATTTTATGTGCTAAACCAGGGGTCTCCAAAATTTATAAACGAAGGGCCAGTTTACTGTCTTTCAGACTTTAGGGGGCCGGACTGTGTCAATGGGAGGAATAGTGCCTCATCATTGATGTCAGTGGGAGGAATAGTACCCCATCATTGGTGTCAATGGGAGGAATAGTGCCTCATCATTGATGTCAGTGGGAGGAATAGTGCCCTATCATTGGTTTCAGTAGGAGGAATAATGCCCCATTATTGGTGTCAGTGGGAGGAATAGTGCCCTATTGTTCATGTTAGTGGGAGGAATAGTGCCCTATTGTTCATGTCAGTGGGAGGAATAGTGCCCTATGATTGGTTTCAGTAGGAGGAATAATGTGTTAGTGCCCCATCATTCATGTCAGGGAGGAATAGTGCTCTATCATTCAGGAATAGGAATAGTGCCCTATGATTGGTTTCAGTAGGAGAATAATGCCCCATTATTTGTGTCAGTGGAAGGAACAGTGTCCCATCATTGATGTCAGTGGGAGGAATAATGCTCCATCATTGGTGTCAGTAGGCGGAATAGTGCCCTATGATTGGTGTCAGTAGGAAAAAAAATGCCCCATTATTGGTGTCCATGGGCAGAATAGTGGCCCATCATTGGTGTCAGTGGGCAAAATAGTGCCTTATCATTGGTGTCAGTGGGAGGAATAATGCCCCATCATTGCTGTCAGTGGGAGGAATAATGCCCCATTGTTGGTGTTAGTGGAAGGAATAATGCCCATTTGTTGGTGTCAGTGGTGGGAACTATGCCCCACTGTTGCTGATGGTGGGGAGAATAATGCCCCAAGGGCCGGATAAAAGCAAGCAAAGACCCTCATTCGGCTCCCGGGCCACAGCTTGGAGACCACTGTGCTAGACCGACACAAAGTGGTACATAATTGTGAAGTGGAAAGAAAATGATAAATGGTTTTCAAAATTTTACAAGTAAATATGTGAAAAGTGTGGTGTGCATTTGTATTCAGCCCTCCTGAGTCAATACTTTGTAGAACCATCTTTCACTGCAATTACAGCTTCAAGTCTTTTTGAGTATTCCTCTACCAACTATTTTGCAAAGAAGAATGGGCTATGAAAATGAGAATTACCTAGATTGTAAGCTCGAAAGAGTAGGGCCCTCTTACCCCTCGTACGTTGCTTGTTGTTGTTGTACTGTGCCATGTATTGTCCCCCCCTCTATTGTACAGCGCTGAGCAAACCCTTTGGCGCTATATAAACTCGTAGTAATAATAATAATAATAATATTCCTCAAATCATTATTTTATTTTGTTTCTATAAATTAAATAGTTTTGACAATACAGGGAATGCACTATTAGGTCAATGTCCTGTTCTTTTTGGCGACAAGATATTTCAGCAACCAAACTTGAAAAGTATATATACAAACAACCAAAACACCTTCCTGTACACAATTACAGAGGACAGAAGCAGAAAAGTGTTAAAGCAAACAGTATGGGAAGCTTTGTTGCAACTGACAAGATTGCAGCCTCTGGGATTACATTGTTTCATCCCTAGTATCAAATGTCTCCCTGAAGGACATTCAGAGGGAGGAAGGAGGAAGCATGAGTTTAAGAACTTGAATAGATTAGATAGATAGTCAAAGAACTTGGATACTTAGCCTGTAACTAATTATTGGGGATTCAGGCCCATGGGTATGTTCAACAAAACTCATATAGATGCATTAGACGTTTAGCATGGCCAAGAAAAAAAAAAAGAAAAAAGAACAGCAAGCACACCAGCAAAGAATATAACAAATAACAATGAAAAAAATTAGTTTGTGAAAATATCTAAATGAACATGATTACCCCAATATTTTGGCATGTCTGTGAGCAGTTTTGGCAGGTTATGATGTTCTTCTGGTACACATTGTACTTGTTGTGGTCATGAAATGCTGACATTTATTTCAGAAAACAGGGTGAGACAAAAACAATTGTGACTGTGTTATTTGGCAAGTTTTATTTGCCTGAAAAACAGAAGTCTAGATAAACAATACCATTACGCATGATGTACTGCTGACACATAGTGTGTGCTTGAAATGTAGAACTAGATTTAAAGTGTTACTAAACCCACACCAGGAAAATCAGTCTGTATATGCAGTAAAGCATGCTTGTTATACTTACTGTGGAATCTAAAGGGTTAAACCTCTGCATTGTGTGAAAAGGCTGTTTGATCTTTTCTTCTCTGTCCCTCCTCTTGTTCAAATGCCCAAGTTGATCAGACAGACTGAACTGTGTCCTTCTGCACATGCTCAGTTTAGTGTGTATTGCTAGAGAGGTTTTTTTTTCTTGGGAGAATGCATGTGATCAGCACAGGGCCAATCAGCACTGTCCAGACAGAGGTCAGGGGGATTTCCATCCTCCTAGAGAAAAACTCCTCCTACAACATTTAACCAGTGCTCTGCTGAAGTCACAAGACTGTTCTAACCGCTGATGAGAAAAGGTATTTAGCAGTTTACATTGACTAAAATAATTGCAATTTCATGTTCTGTGTACTGTGGGAGACCAGATATAGTGAATGCAGGGTCCTGGGTTTAGTAACACTTTAATAATGAGCAAACTTCTTAAAATCTACTCCATTGTAACTAGATTGTCTAAAGACGAATTCACATTGCAATGCACAGCAGCCATAGCAATTACCACCTCTAGCCGCTCTGCATTGCCTGATGCAGTAGAAGGCAGTGTGATGTGCGATTCAGCACATCACGCGGCTCCCCTTTTTTATGTTTTATGCTAAATGTACAAAACGTACACTTCATTCACTGCAATGTAGGGCAGTGCAATATGCTGCCTTACATTGTAGTGCAATCCTGTACAGTGTGCTCTGATAAAATGCAATTTCCCACAGCATTTTGAAGCTCAGCACTAGGCTGCATTGCAGTGTGAATGGGGCACATAGGAAGCAATTGTTTTATGTGTGCCCCTACATCAGGGGTGCTCAACCTTTTAAAGTGCGAGGACCACTTAAGTAACTTGGTAACTAGCCGAAGGCCACAATGAAAATAAATGGTTGAGAGTTTAGATTTTTTTTATTTTTAATAGTATAATGAACATTTTCCTTCTGCAGTAGCTGAACATTGGCAGAAGGGAGCGGAGGAGCAGCCGGCTGTACATGCTGCCCCCATCGTCCCTCCTGTCCAAGTGTAAAAACGGAATGTGACAGGGAGACCTCATGGGTTCCCTGGAGCATGGGGCAGGATCACCATTGCGACCCCTGATGGGTTTGGTAAAAACATGTCTCAACTATGGAGTTTTACTAGGTTGCTGACCCCAGACACGTGCTTCCCTGGTTTGAGGTCGATGGTTTTTTTAGAATACGATAAAATGCCTGTCACCGCATACAGTGTGAATTAACCCTAATTCTTACCATTTATAGAATAGCATGAGTTTTTGATTGGAAAACCAAAGACAAATGCTTTTTTGCACAAGTCATACCTTTTTTTTTAATTCTTTATTTATGCAGACAGAAAACAAAGAAGATGGAATCAAAGTGCATTCCAAGACAGAGTGTAACATAACCAACAAGTACAATCTCAATATAGTTGGTATTAAAGTGGTTGCAAAGGCTCAAGGTATTTTATGTTCATGCATTCTGTGCACGAGGGTAAAAAAACCTTCTGTGTGCAGCAGCCTCCAGCCCCCCTAATACTTCCCCGAGCCCCATCTCAATCCACCGATGTGCACAAGAGCAGCAGCTTTCTGAGGTCTCACCTTCTCATTGGCTGAGACAGCAGCAGGAGCCATTGGCTCCCACTACTGTAAATTACAGTCAGTGAACCAATGAGGAGAGAGCAGGGGCGGAGCCAAGCCACGCTCTGTCTGAATGGACACATAGAGCAGGGGCTCCGGAGTGAGCATTCTCAGGTGCCCCTATAGTAAGCAGCTTGCTATGGGGCAATGGGCAGGAGGGAGGAGCCAGGAGTATTGGACCTGAGAAGAGGAGGATCGGGACTGCTCTTTGGAAAACCAAAGCAGAGAGCAGGTAAGTATAACATGTTTGTAATTAAAAAAAAAAAATCAGCCTTTAATATCACTTTAGCCATGCAGTAAGCAGGAGGCAAGGCTAGAATTAAAGATGAAAACTATAGAATCAATGACTTAGACAGAACATCTTGGAGCATCTATGACCAGTGTGAGTGTTATTAGTGTGGTTTCCTGTTTTGACAGTGTGGATTGGGTTTTAAATGATTGAGGATATGTAAGAAGAGGGGATGGGGGGAAAGGAAGGGAGAGAGACAAAAAGAAAAAAAAAAAAGGGGGGGGGCATGTTCCAAGCCACTCTCTGATATCTCCCTGGGCCTCACCAGTGGTAGCAAAATTTAGTGTGCTTACTGTCTGTTTCCTTGAACTTCAATTCGTAGTCTCTGGAAATGTTTCAAGGTAGTTTCAATATTCTTGCGTAAAACTGAAATCATGCCAGTATAACCAGGTCAAGCAAAATTTGTCTTCTTTGTGCTTCAGGGATACAATGAGATCTTCCGTACGATTGATCTTAACCCTCCTAATCCACAGATGCACTGTGGGAGGATCTGCGCATCTCCATTTCAGTGGGATACAAGATCTCGCTGCATTTATAAACATTTTTTTTATATTGGGTTTTAGCAATGGGGATCAAATGTAAAAAAAATATAGCAGGATTATCTCTACGATTAAATCCTGTCACTTGAGTCTTTGAATTTTTCCCCAAAAAGGGGCGCAACAACGAGCATTAAGTCACAACTTATTTTTTTCCATAACACATGTACACCAAAGCGTTTGTACAATTAATAGGAAAAAAAGTGTTTTGGGCCCTAGGATTAATTACATTTGAGAAAATTACTATCATCACCATCAACATTTTAGACTCAGCAGGAAGGCCCACAATGTTAGGCTGATGTTGTGGGAAGACTCAGCTAGAAATATCCAGGTCAGGCAACAGCTTTTTTTCAATGATGAAGCAATGGCAGCCTCTAGATTGCTTTCAGTATAGATTTCCTTTACATTGCTATGAGTGCGACTTTTATATGAGTCAATCATACATCTCACTTTTATGTTAAAAAAAAAAAAGCTGGTTTTAAGAAAATTAGTAACGACCAATGGGGTCGTTCATTACACGGTGCAGTTGGACATGTGCAATATAACAAACAGAATATCTACAAGTATTCCTCCACATTTCAAAATACCCAGTGACCAGTAAAGGCAAGAAAGACAAGCATTTTAGTTCCATGATTACAATTCACAAATATGATTATCTGTAAGAAGAACACAGTACATTTTGACAGTGTGCTTCTTTTTATCTTGTGCTGGCTTTAAACAGGAACATCAAATTGTAATAGGGCAGGAGCATTTGCATACAGTATGTAAAAAGAATACAAGATAAACCATTGGTATGTATGCAAGTTTTATACATCAAAAATATCTTTAAAGTGGACCTTAGGCTAACAAGCAAAGTCCACTGTATACATCAGGACCCCTCTTCCATTAGAATGTGGTGACTTTTCATTTTGCAAAGAACACCCAATCAAGTGCAAGGGAAAAAAACAACAGTATTTTTGCTTGTACATGACTGGATGATGGAAGTCAGCAGAGCTTCAATTCATTCAATAAGCTCTGGAGCAAATTTCCTTCCAAAGTGAAACTTCCCTTGTAAAGTGAACAGCCTGTTTGCCTTTAGGAGTGGAAGCCAGGGGTAAGGTTAAGATACTTGTTCAACTGGGGGAAACTTCCTTGCAGAGGCAAAACTCCCCTACAATGTGAACAGCCTATTCGGCTTTTGCAAATCAACATCTATATATCTTCCTTTTTTATATTGAGGAGTGCCCATGTACTTCACTTTACCCGACCAGTTGCTGTAGAAAGCAGGACAGTAAACAAACTAAGGTTTATGGAGAAGTCTGACAATGCACCCTTGGCTATGAAAGTGCCACTGGTATCTCATTATCCACAGGCATCCATCAATGGACTACAAAGGATCAGTTCACTCTAGTGGACATGCCTCTCTGTAACAGTACTGATATGGTGAATTCTGAGGAAATATATGAGCAAAGAAAGCAAGCTATGTAAGCAATTAGTCATTTATTGAATTGTGTGTGCAGCTTGTTTCTTCAGTAGCTTTATGTGGGGAGATTCCTACTGATAATACAAATCATCTTGGCTGGTTAATTTTACCAAAACATGGCAATGTGATTTTATACTTTGACCCATATAATAACAGCACAATGGCTAAATGGTTAGCACTTCCCCCTGGAAGTACTAAGGTTGTTGGTTCAAATCCCAACTACAGCACCACCTGCCTAGAGTTTGTATGTTCTCCCTGTGTCTGTGTGGGTTTCTACCCACACTCCAAAGACATGCTGGTACAGTAGATTAATTGGCTCCTGTCTAAATTGGCCCTAGTATATGTATGTATGAATGTGAGTTAGGGACCTTAGATTGTATGCCCCTTGAGGGTTAGGGACTGATGTGAATGCACAATATATATGTAAAGCACTGCATAAATTGACAGCGCTATATAAGTACCTGTATTTAAAAAGAGTTTTTAGAGGTTCAATAGCACCACAGTATCAGTGGTGGGCCTCTGGGGCAGGCTAAGTGTCAGAGAAACAGAGGAGATCATATTTTCAGAAGTAGACTGTAGATCCTTTTTTCTTATTTCAAAGGAACAAAGAACATTTTATAAAATTGAACTTATCACTTTGCCAATATAAAGCAAAGTAGCAGGTTTGCCTGATAGCTCAACTCCTCTTTTACTAATAATTACTTTTCTTATGCTTCCCCAATGCTCCATTCGACTACTGGGACTCTCGGTAAAAAGCTAAGAGGAGCCCTATATGTTGAAACGAAGAAAGGGCTCGTCCCTCTGCTCCCATGTGACAGAAATAGTTTAAATAAATTTTTATTAGGGTCACCGAACTTACTATATATCTCTAAAATAAAGATGAGAGAGATAAAATCAGTTCTCCTTACTGATACATCTGAAGATCTCTTTTTATAAGCCTAAATCCAAGATAAGTATTATATGAATAAAAAATGTACTATATATGCAGACCAAATATTGGTCTGTTTTGTGTATTACTTCCAGATCTGCGCAGTAATGCAGTGTACAATTGTGCACGTGCTTGCTGTGAAAATGTTAATTTACCTTGCCGCAGAAAAGTCGTTCTCAGATAACTGTGAGAGAAAAAATAATCATAGGGTTAATATCAATTTTTTTGCATTCCAACAATGCTAAACTTGGTCTGTGTATCTAAGTTTTTTAAAAAAAAAACTCTGGTAATTAAAGGGTTAAACAGAAAGTACAGTGTTTTTGGATAGATTTTATTTTAGTTTTTTATTAAGTTTTAAAACGATTTTTGTTTATCTTTCGGAGCAGACATAGAGCTGTCATCCCTTTGATCAGCGGAGAGATCCCCTGTAGAGCAAGCGGATCTGCTAAACAGATCCACCCCATGTGAAAGGACCCTTAATCACCCACAATATGTGTTGCTTAATACAAATGGAATATTATTTTTTTTATTTGTGTTAGGAATGATTGTG